TGTTATAGTTGAATTCTTCCATTGATAGCTATTTTAGATTGAAATTGGAAGGAAGATGATGATACGTTGTTAAGTTTTAGTGCTTAGAGACGCATGTGGGTGAAATTAATGATTTTTAGAATGTGATGATTGCATGATGTGTGTTGGGTTGATTTTGAGTTATTTATGGTGTCTGAATGTTGAATTTTCTTGCAGCATGTTGGTTAGTTGTTGGATTTAAAGTGGATTAAGTCAAAATGAGAGTTTGTCAAGTGCAAAAACTCTTGTCATGCTAGGTGTGATTCCATGACGTTGGCGCGTGACTCAAATCAAGGACCTTTATCTCATTATGTGGAATGTAGGATTAGCAACATTGAATGTGAGCATAAAGAAAAGTCTATGACTTGATCACATTGGACATGGATTTGAATAGTGTTGGGCATGAGGAGAGAAAGTTGTTTTTACCTAAGTTGGGGTCGAGCATCAATAGAGTGACGTTAGGTGTGAGTTAAGCAAAACCCCTTCACCTAATTAAGGTCGTGCGTGGATTTTACTACGCCAGGTGTGAGACACTTAGAGACTCTCTACCTCATCCATTTCGGGTGCATGGAGATTGGAGTCAGGCATGGGTGAGACAGGAAGCTCTCTACCTTAATAACGTCGGGCACACTAGGAATAACGTAAGGCATGAGTTGCATGATTCAAATGTGATGTTCAAGTTGATTTGATAACTGAAGAGTGATGTTTTGTTTATGTGATGAATGTTGTATGAGGATGGTTCATTATACATTGAATTGAGATGATGAACAGTAATGTTATGTTGTTAAGTTATAAGTTGATAATTGATTAAGTTGCAAAAGTATATGTTATAGTTGATTAAGTTGTTAGAGATGTGGTGAAAATACATATCTTAGTTGAGATACATAAAGACTAGAGAAGATTTATGTTGTTTAAATTGTTCCATCTAAGATTTATGAAGAATAATATGGGGGTGTGGTCGATCCATATTGTAGTTAAAATGACAAACTAAGTAAGGTACAAAGTCGAGGCCTTAGTCCCTAATTGAGTACTGGAAGAGCATAGTATTTAGAGGATAATCAATGGGTTAAATTCATAGGAGACTTAGTGTTGCAAGTTAATATTGTGATAAGCTCATATTGAAATTGTTCTACTGTAATAGAAATAATAGACTTCATAGATTAAGCGACGAAACTTGATAAATCAATTTAAGTTGTATACCTGAGACTCTAAGAGGTTTAACACTATTTATACTTGACCTAGATGTAATAGGTCAGATGTTGTGGTTCAATAGGGTCTAGCTACTTAGTATGCTCACCCTGTTGTTGAAGATCTCCTTGGTTGATATGTGTGATGATGTATTAGTTGCTTATTGTTGAGAATATATGTATGTATAGTTATATGTTGAAATTGTTAAGTTGTTTGTATTATAAATTGTTGAATTGTTTGTATGATGATATTGTTAACAAGTTGAAAGTTGTGAATGTTGAGTAGCATTGAATATTGACAAAGTTGTATTGTATTGTTGTAAGTTGTTTGTTTTGAATACTATGTTGATTCTTTTCACAAATTTATCCTTTCTTTTTTGTATGGTTGGAATTGGAGTGATTATACATTGTATATGGGAACAAGATGGGATTAGCAAAATGACTTGGATGGTAGTGGATGGTCACATCGGTAATGACCCATTTTTGCACTTACTATTTTGATACGATAAAGTATTATATAGACACTTGATCGACATATAAGGTTATTTTGTGTATATTTGTGTAATTTATGTGGATAAAATATGTGTACAAGGGATGAATGTAACCTCATGTGGAGATTTATAAATTTCAATTGATTTTGGTTTTTGCCATATGTATATATATATATATATATATATATA